AAGAGGCAGGTTAGGTGGTCTGGTATTCCCATCTCTTTCAGAGTTTTCCACAGTTTATTGTGATCCACATAGTCGAAGGCTTTGGTATAGTCAATAAAGCAGAAGTAGATGTTTTTCTGAAACTCTTTTGCTTTTTCAATGATCCAACAGATGTTGGCAATTTGATCTCTGGTTCCTCTGCCTTTTCTAAATCCAGCTTGAACATCTGGAAGTTCATGGTTCACATAGTGTTTAAGCCTGGCTTGGAGAATTTTGAACATTGCTAGTGTGTGAGATGAGTGCAATTGTGCAGTAGTTTGTGTATTCTTTAAAAGACAATTAAAATATGGTTGAAATATTTACTAAGGCTTGGTTCTCAAGCACCTGACTGTAGCCAGTTACTTGCTCACAGTCTCCAAAGGAGTCCCTCAGCCAAAGACATGCTTGGGGTGGAAAATTTTCCTCTTTTTTTTTTGTCGTGCTGCCCGGCTTGTGGGATCTGTTCCCGGAAGGCATTGAAAACCTGGAATCCTAACCTATAGCTCACCAGGAACTGTCCCCCCTCCTCCCCTCAAATTCTTATTTTTGATGGCTCCAAGTGAATGGGGAACAAAAGAAAAAGTAACGCTCTGAAGGGAAGTGAGTATAAAACTGCACATTCCACACAGGCACAATTTTGCATTTCCAGTTGCTACCAGTTTCCATCACCCGCTCTAAAACTCATGCTGTCGCTTAAGTAAAGCCTGGGGGTTTCAGAAGGGCCAGAATCCAAGTTCCGCCCACAGTGCCAAGCCCCGCCCCCAACGTCCTAGCGCTCGGCCAGGCGCTCAGAGGAACTGTGTCCATCCGCTCGCAGTTTTCACATAAACCGTTGTCAATCGGCCACTTCCAATAGAAGTGGCCCGGCTCTCTAATTCCGCACCGAGCCTGGCTCCAAAGGACACCGGACACGTTCAAAGGATCCAAAGTAGAAACGGAAAGCCCATTCGGAGAGGAGGAAGAGACAAGAATCTCCCAGGACGAGACTAGGCGTCTGGAGGCTCCGCCCATCCAGGGACACAGCCTCCTTCCACCCGGACGTCAGAGACGGTCGCCCCTCGGCGGTCCTGTCCCCCTGCTCAACGGTGCGCACGCGCAATTGTCTCAGGACGCGGAAGCGGATCCCGCGGAAAGACTGACGCGCTCGGGTGAGTGACTTGGTTGTTTAGTTCGTTACTGCGTTCTGCGGAATTCAGGCTCCGTCCTCCACAGCTGGGTTTCGGGTGTCTCTCGGTAACTTAAACCTCTGAACCCGGTTGTCGCTCTCGCTCTGAGACCGCCGCTACCGCCTATGGCGGGGTCGCCAGAAGGCTCGTTTCGGTCCCAGGAGTCCGGGCCGGGTTCCGGTTAAAATCGCTCCGACTCAGGTACCGGCCCAAGCTTTCTGAGGTCGGTCCATATAGACGCTAAACGCCTGCAGCCCTATTTTCCTGCTTTGATTAATCTCTCAACCTTTTGGCGGACTCCCGGCTCCTTCCCCCCGTCCCGCGCCACACACCCCCCCCCACGCCCTATTCCGTTATAGCAAGTCCTCACTCTGGAGGTGGATCGCCCTTGACTTCCCTCCTAGAAGAGCAGAGAGGGAATGTTGAAGCAGAAGTATATGCAGTTAGCGAAGCATCAGAACGTTTGGGGAGAAAAAAATTACAGGGATTGAACAGAGATTGCAGCAGAGTGAGGCCTAACGGTATGTGGGAGGACGAATAGAGAGGGAGGGAAACAAAATGATGCCTATAATCAGAGGAGGAAACACAGAAAAGGACACAAGGAGAGAAGCAGAAGGACCCGGGGAGACACAGAGAGAACAAAGCACGCTGGTGGCGAAAGCGGAAAACCCAAACCCAGCTGAATTGCGTTGATTAAATGTGGAATATTAAGTTATGAAGTACTAAGTAGTGTCTCTATCAGCTATATTTGTTTAAAGTTTGTTGACATGTTTAAATTATGCAGAGGAGAGTGATAGTTGCAAAAGCAGGTGTTTGACGCATCTGCATTTTCTAATTTTTGCTTCAGATGATGACTCCATTTGCAATCCCAGGCCTTCCAGAGGACAGAGACTTAGTTCCAGGTCGTTCTCTCCCCTTCTAAGAAATGGGGGAAGAATCTGTGTTACCTCAGAGTTCTTTTGAAAATGGCCATTTTTACCAGTACTGTTGCGATCACCCCCTTTGTTTTATGGCTCGTGTCAGTCTTTTCTAAATTTGATGTATCCTCACACTTGTTTTAGCTTTAATCTCAGGAACCATTGGATATGTTTTAAATATCCAAATTATTTTTACTGTAAATTTTATTGTTCAGGTTACCAGGTTTATATGCTTTCTGCTGTATTCTCTATTGAAACTATTCTGAATAGACATCAGCTCTACTTGATGTCTGGCTTCTCTGGTGGCTCAGAGGTTAAAGCGTCTGCCTGCAATGTGGGAGGCCTGGGTTCGATCCCTGGGCCAGGAAGATCCCCTGGAGAAGGAACTGGCAACCCACTCCAGTATTCTTGCCTGGAGAATCCCATGGACGGAGAAGCCTGGTGGGCTACAGTCCAAGGAGTCGCAAAGAGTCGGACACGACTGAGCGACTTCACTCACTACTTGATGTCTGGTTTACTGTGCATGTGGAAGCGATGTTGATCACCTTTTAACACTCAAAACCTAGTTTAACCAGTTTAATATTCAAGAGCTTCTTTCCTGCCTTAACTGATCAGCTCAATTAGTGACCTCTGAACTGAAGTATCCAAATAAATAGATTGTCCCCTCAAGTTCCCTCTATGCAGATGTTAAAGGATGGGCTGGATTTGTTACAGATCTGAGTTCTTAGGCTTTACTCAATAGGAACAGGACGGGTGAGGAATTCAGGCAAAGCTTTACTGGGATTTGTCCTGCGAGACAAGTGAACAAGAATAAGAAACATTTGCCCTTGCTTGTTCCCTGATGGGAGGCGGGACTGGTTCCTTAAATGGGGTGGGAGTGGGGGCAGATAAATAGGTCTGACTGGAGGTGTGGCTTAGATGGTCTGCCCACCCGCTTGGTGATGCTGTGTGCACGGATCCTGTGCAGTATCCTGCTTTTGTTCTCCGCACCTCAGAAGGGGCAGTTGGGTTTTGGCCTGTTTGTGTCTTCAGTCAGACGCTCAGTTGACTCTTTGCAGCCCAAGGACTGCAGCACGCCAGGCTTCCCTGTCCATCACCAACTCCGGGAGCTTGCCCAACCCATGTCCATCAAGTGATGCCATCCAACCATCTCATTCTCTGTCATCCCCTTCTCCTCCTGCCCTTAATCTTTCCCAGCATCAGGGTCTTTTCAAATGACTCAGTTCTTTGCATCAGGTGGCCAAAGTATTGGAGTTTCAGCTTTAGCATCAGTCCTTCCAGTGAATGTTCAGGGTTGATTTCCTTTAGGATTGACTCATTGGATCTCCCTGCAGTCCTAGGGACTCTCAAGAGTCTTCTCCAGCACCACAGTTCAAAAGCATCAATTCTTTGGCACTCAGCTTTCTTCATAGTCCAACTCTCACATCTATACATGACTATTGGAAAAACCATAGCTTTGATTAGACAGACCTTTGTTGGCAGAGTAGTGTCTCTGCTTTATAAAGTTCTATCTAGGTTGGTCAGAGCTTTTCTTCTAAGGAACAAGTGTCTTTTAATTTCATGACTGCAGTCACTATCTGCAGTGATTTTGCAGCCCCCTTCACTGTTTCTACTGTTTGCCCATCTATTTGCCATGAAGTGATGGGACCAGATGCCATGATCTTAGTTTTTTGAACGTTGAGTTTAAGCCAGCTTTTTCACTCTTCTCTTTAACTTTCATCAAGAGGCGCTTTAGTTCTTCTTCGCTTTCTGCCATAAGGGTGGTTATCATCTGTGTATCTGAGGTTATTGATGTTTCTCCTGGCAATCTTGATTCCAGCTTGTGTTTCATTCAGCCCAGCATTTCGCATGATGTACTCTGTATTTAAGTTAAATAAGCAGGGTGACGATATACAGCCTTGGCGTACTCCTTTCCTGATTTGGAACCAGTCTGTTTTTCCATGTCTAGTTATAACTGTTGCTTCTTGACCTGCATACAGATTTCTCAGGAGGCAGGTCAGGTGGTCTGGTATTCCTATCTCTTTAAGGATTTTGCACACAGTGTTTAAGGATCCACACAGTGAAAGGCTTTGGTGTAGTCAATAAAGCAGATGTTTTTCTGGAATTCTCTTGCTTTTTCTATGATCCAGCGGTTGTTGGCAATTTAATCTCTCATTTCTCTGCCTTTTCACAATGCAGCTTGAACATCTGAAAGTTCTCAGTTCATTTACTGTAAAGCCCAGCTTGAAGAATTTTGCGCATCATTTTGCTAGCATGTGAGATGAATGCAGTTTTGGAGTAGTTTGAACATTCTTTGGCGCTGCATTTCTTTGGGATTGGGATGAAAACTGATTTTTTTGCAGACCTGTGGCCACTGCTGAGTTTTCCAAATTTGCTGGCATAGTGAGTGAAGCACTTTCACAGCGTCATCTTTTAGGATTTGAAATAGCTCACCTGGAATTCCTTCACCTCCACTAGCTTTGTTCGCAGTGATGCTTTCTAAGGCCCATTTCACTTTGCATTCCAGGATGTCTGGCTCCAGGTGAGTGATCACACCATGGTGGTTATCTGGGTAATGAAGATATTTTTTTGTACAGTTCTTATGTGTATTCTTGCCACCTCTTCTTAATATCTTCTGCTTCTGTTAGGTCCATACCATTTCTGCCCTTTATTGTGCCCAAATCTTTGCATGAAAAGTTCCATTGGTATCTCTAATTTTCTTGAAGAGATCTCTAGTCTTTCCCATTCTATTGTTTTCCTCTATTTCTTTGCATCGATCACTGAGGAAAGCTTTCTTTTCTATTCTTTGAAACTTTGCATTCAAATGGGTATGTTTTTCCTTTCCTCCTTTGCCTTTTGCTTCTCTTCTTTTCTCAGCTATTTGTAAGACCTCCTCAGACAACCATTTTTCATTTTTGCATTTCTTTTTCTTAGGGATGATCTTGATCACTGCTTCCTGCACAGTGTCATGAACCTCCATCCATAGTTCTTCAGGCACTCTGTTTATCAGATCTAATCTCTTGAACCTATTTGTCACTTTTTTTTTGGGGGGGGGGTGTAATCTTACTGTTCATAATTTGCCCCAGCTGTGCATGTATGCGGTTATTTTGCTCAGGACGCATTTGTTCAGGTACAGAGCAGTGCTGTAGGGGGGGGTCCCAGGTTCGAACCTTTCTCAGATTGATGTGAAACTTTGTTCCAATAGAGCCCAGTTCATGATGAAGAAATTGTTCAGAGCATATCTCTGTGGGTGACCTTTCTTGTGTTCCTGGAGTAATAACTATTTGTCATTTTGTATTTTTTTATTATAATGTTTTTTGGAAAAGAAGAATTAAATGTTTGAAATTAATTAAACCCATGAAAAAGAAGTTTTTCTTGCTCAGGAACATGAAAGTTAGTCTGGAATTAGGACAAACCCTTTCTACTTAAGTCTGTCCAGACTGCCACTTCAACCCAGTACTGCTTACTCAACTCACACTTTTTCAGGGTAACTTTGTAAAACTACTCCTGCTCTGAGCCTCAGTGTACTCACCTGTAACGCAGAGTAGACCACTTTGCCTGTATAGTTAAAACTTCAAATGTGTTCCAGTTCTGCAGCAGTTACAAAAAACACTTAAGAAAGAAACAGAGGCATAGGCCCAGAGATAGAGGCATATATTTTTCTCAGCCTGTCTTTCTCTATCTCTGAATCAGGGGTAAATCATAAATTTGGTTGTGTCATCCTTGGCATTAAATTCTTTTATGGTTTCCCATCACCCTCAGGACAAAAATCTCAGTTGTTCATTGTAGCTCACAGGGAGCTCTAGAACTGAACTGACCCTCCAGAGTTGCTTCCAGTTAACATAAAGGGTAACTTCCATATCCTGCATCAACCAGTCATTGGATGCTGGCCACCTGGAAGAGAGAACTTAGAGGATGAAGGTTTCTTGGGCTGAGTGCTAAATGGATGAAGGGTGATGCAATTGCAGCAGAGTGTGGGTTTCGGTGACAGGAAGGGGCTTCCTGAAGTGGGTGAAAAGCTTACTAATTGGTCTTCCTGTAGAAATTTATTATCCCTGGATCCTTCCTGTTACAGTTGGCAGCAGAGGCCCATCTTTCCCCACATTAAGGTTCTCCTCCTGGTATCTTTGTGGCAGAGCAGGGGGTATGTTGATTTTAAGAATTAAACAACGTATTTTCCTCATACAGAATAATCTTACCTGAAGAATCTAACAAACAGAGGAGGAAAGAAGGAATGGAGCTTTCCCAGGTAAAAATCATATTCTTTGTTGATCTGTTAACTTTTTCCTAAAATGACACGATTTGGACTTGTTAAACTTCTCTGTCCATGAAGTTTCCTGCCTAAAATATGTAATCACACACAGGGCCTTCCCTGAGTCTCCTCTCATCTCCCTGTAGATTCTTCCTCACTGTGACCCAGTGACCCGGAACTTGGGAAGAGGGTTCTTTAGGTGATCCTCCTGTGAAAGGTTTTGTTCTCACGTGGACTGGAGGTGGGAGTAGGCTCTGTCAGTGAGGTGGGGCAGAGAACCCTTCTGTGTGCCCTTCAGCTCCATGTAAACCAAAGAGGCTATATATGTAAGTAATGTATCGGTTGGCCAAAAATTTTGTTCAGATTAGAAAAACTCAAATGAACTTTTTGGCCAATGCAATACTAATGTGGGTAAATACCCAAGGAGGTGTAGAATGAAAGACTGATGGGGAAACATGCTTTTTGAGATTTTAAAAGTTAAAGAAGTGAATCCGTGTGTTTCTGGTCTAAAATATTTCTGTACACTAGCAATAAACAAATTGAAAGTGAGTAAAACAATTGCATTCACAAGACCATCAGAAGGAGTAAGAATTAATTTAAGGAATTGGAAGATTTGTACAATGAAAACTACAAGTATTGATGAAAGAGTTGAAAGAAAAATAAATATCAAGATATTCTGTGATTGCTGATTGGAAGACTTAGAGTAGTTAAGATGGCAGTACTCGCCAGAGTGATACAAGGATTCAGAACAATCCCTGTTAGAATCCCAGCAGTCAATCTTGTACAAATGTGACCCTGGTCCTAAAATTCATTTTGAATAGGTGTGGACCCCAGATAACCAAAATAAATGTGAAAAAGAACTGAGTTGGAGGGCAACATCAACCCATACTGCAAACCAGGGGTAAACAAACCTGTGTTTTCAGCATGAGAAGGGTAATATAGATCAAAGTGATAGACTGAGTCCACAAGTAAACCCATCCATCTATTGTCTATTTCTTATTTTTTAATTAATTAATTATTTGGCTGTGTTGGGTCTTAGAGGTGGCACATGGGCTTCTCTCTAGTTTTTGTGCTCAGGCTCCAGAGTGAGTGATCTTAGTTGTCCCACAACACGTGGGATTTTACTTCCCTTACCAGGGATCAGACTTGGGTCCCCTGCATTGGAAGGTGGATTCCATTGGACTCCCAGGGAAGTCCCAGTCTATTCCTCTTTTTGAAAGAATGCCAGAAACATTCACAGAAAAAGAGTATCTTTTTTTTTTTTTAGAAGAGTAGTCTCTTTAAAAAAAAAAAAAAATTGAAGTGTAGTTGATTCACAATGATTTGTCAATGTCTGGTGGTGTACATTATAGTGATTCATTTATATATATTATATATACACACACACACACATTTTTTATATTCTTTTCCATTATGGTTTATTATAAGATATTGATGATAGTTCTCATGCTATACAGTATGACCTTGTTATTTATCCATTCTATATAGAATGGTTCGCATCTGCTAATTCCAAACTTTCAGTCCATTCTCCTCATCCCACCTCCCCCTTGGCAACCACAAGTCTGTTCTTTGTTGGTGAATTTGTATCAGTTTGATAGATAGGTTCATTTGTGTTATATTTTAGAATCCACATATAAGTGATATCATATGGTACTTGTCTTTCTCTGAGTTACTTAGTATGATAATCTCTAGTTGCATCCATGTTCTTGCAAATGAAATGGCTTCATTCTTTTTATGGCTGCATAGTATTCCATTGTATGTATGCATGATGTCTTGTTTAGCCATTCGTCTGTCAGTGGACATTTATGTTGTTTCCATGTCTTGGCTGTTGTGAATAGTGCTGCTTTGAACATAGGGGTGCATGTATCTTTTTGAATTATAGTTTTGTCCACATATATTTCCAGGGGGTGGGATTGCTGGATCGTATGGCAACTCTATTTTTAATTTTTTGAAGAACCTCCATACTGTTTTCCACAATGGCTTTGTCAGCTTACATTCCTACCAACAGTGTAGGAGGGTTGCCTTTTCTCCACACCCTCTCCAGCATTTGTCATTTGTAGACATTTTAACAATGACCATTCTGATCAGTGTGAAGTGAGGTACCTCATTTTAGTTTTGGTTTGTATTTCTCTGATAATTAATGATGTTGATCGTCTTTTCAGGTGCCTTTTGCCCATCTGTATGTCTTCTTTCACGAAATGTCTGTTTAGATCTTCTGCCTATTTTTCGATTGGGTTGTGTTTTGTTTGTTTTTGAATTGTGTGAGATATCTGTTTATTTTGGAAATTAAGCACTTGTTGGTTGCATCATTTGCAGGTATTTTCTCCTGGTTTGTAGGTTGTCTTTTTTGTTTGTTGATAGTTCCTTTTGTTATACAAAACCTCATAAGTTTGATTGGTCCCATCTGTTTATTTTCACTTTTATTTCTATCGTTTTGGGAGGCAGACCTAAGAAAAGTAATTTTTTTGGTTCAGCCATGTTATAGTATGTATCAATACTGCATTCCTTTTCACATCTAAAGTGGGTCTCTTGTAGGCAGCATATGGTACACTCAAGTTTTTCAATCCAGTCTGTCACTCTGTGTCTTTTATTGGAACATTCAAGACATTAAAGGTAATTATTAATAGATAGGTATATACTGCCAATTTAAACCTTGTTTTCCAGTTGATTCTGTATTTCTTCTTTGTTTTTTTCTCTGTTTCTCCTTTTGCAGTTTGATGGTTTCCTTTTATATTATGCTTGTGTTCTGTTCCTTTTGGTTTTTGTGAAATAGTTTTTGGTTTATGGTTACCCTGTTTTTCAAGTATGTTAACCTCTTCCTATATCTACTTTCTTTAGGCTGATAGTCATATAGGCTTAAACACTCTTTTTGTTAAAAAATTAACAAATCTTAATCTTCTCCTGGATTGGAAAAATGAATATGGTTTAAATGGCCAAACTCCTCAAATACATCTACACATTTAATGTGATCTGTATCAAATTACCCATGACATTTTTCACAAAAGTAGAACAAATAATCCTAAAATGTATGTGTATATTCACGAGAGAAATCAGACAAAAGGTTACATTTTATACTATTCTGCTTATATGCAAATATCCCAGAGAGGCACATTTATTGACATAAAGCATTAGTGGTGTCCAGGGACTGATAGCAAATGGGGAAGAAAGAAACAACTGCTGAATGGGTAAAAGATTTCCTTTGGAGATGATTGAAATATTTTTGAATGAGGAAGAGGTGATGTTCAACATTGTAAATGTAGTAAATGTCACTGAATGGTACTTTAAAAGTGGCTAACTTTGTTAATATGAATTTCACCTCAGTTTAAAAAAAATTGGAGGATTGTAACTTGCTCAGAATTATCTTACATGGATCACTCAGAACATTCATTCCAGCCAAGCCAGTCCTTACACGCCTGATTCTGTAAGACTGATTTTTCAGAACTCTCTCCCTGTTCACTTGGTGAAATGTTTCCTTTCAGGGACTGTTTACATTCAAGGATGTGGCCGTAGAATTCACTCAGGAAGAGTGGGAATGCCTGGATCCTACTCAGAGGGCCTTGTACAGGGACGTGATGCTGGAGACCTACAGGAACCTGCTCTCCCTGGGTGAGGAAAACATCTCTGTTTGTAATTTTTTCCCATACGAATGTTCTCTCTGACCTTAGGTAACAAATTTCCAAAACATTTATTGTACACTATATATGTATATTTTTGCCATATTATTGATACTCCATGAAATCCCATAGTTGAGATTTCAGACAGTTTTCCTTAATTCTTAAACTTTATACATATATGTGTTGATCTGAGCCTCATATTTCGAAAGTCAGTGCTTCTCAAGATACTTTTTACTTTTCCTATTGTGTGTTCCTTGTGGAATGAAAAAAAAATTTTTTTGTGCTTACTCAAGAGTCTTTTAGAATTCCAGAGACTATTATTTTGTATAATTGTGGTTATTTATTAACTTACTTGCTAGATTTATCATGATTTATGAACATGTATCAATTATTGTGATGTATAGATTTGTAAAAATATTTTTTCTTGCATCATGTTCACATGTGATTAAACAGTATTATAAAGATTAGGGATTAGGGAAGACAGTCTCAAATCTAAATTACAATTTCATGCCTCCAATTCTGTAAGCCAGTACGTAGATAGACTTTCTACTTATGGAGTATCATTTAATTATCCAAGTTATATGGCAAAAAAGTGTGCATTGTACATTGTATGTACTTGAAATTTTATTATCTGAGATAAGAGAAAACATTAATGCTGGAAAAAGTATAAAAAGAAAACTAAAAAAAACTATCATAGTGTTTGAAGACCATGATTGAAGAACTTCTATGATCACTGTATTATTTTTTGTGTAAGTGTCTAATTCAACATGAGATATTTTCCAACTCTATGTAATAGGAAGCTATTCTGCCACATTTGCAATCAAGGAATTATCATCCCCCAAAGAGGACATCAATAAAGGAGAATTATGCCACCTGATGACATTAGAGAAAAATGAAACTTATGGCATCAAGGATTTTGACCTCAAGGAAGTCTGTCAAAATATGCAGGAGAGTGAGAGTGAGTGGGGATGTGATGCAAGAAATGACAAAGAAGTGCTTTTGACCCACAACAAAAATCTCAGTCAGAGGGAAGATCAGGATAATAAATCCTTAATTAATTTTCCTCAGAATGTTTCTGTAAGAAGTAATACATATGAATATTTCATGCATGACAAGCCATTCATAAGAAATTTGTTAATAATGAAAGATAACATAATCATCACTGGAAACAATATAAAGTGTTTGGACAATAGAACTGGAGCAAGACTGCAGGCACAGGTGGCTGAACTGCAGAGATTTACAACTGAGGAGAAAATGTGTGGAGGCACTCAAGTTGAGAATTCAGTTGGCAACGGGTCCTCAGTTTCCCAACTTCATCAAATTCCTCCTACTGTGGAAACCACTGTGTTATCTGCCCAACACAGGAGAACACACATTCAAGAAAAATCTTACAACTGTAATGACTGTGGGAAGGCCTTTAGCAAAAAATCAAACCTCACAAATCACAAGAGAATTCACTCTGGACAGAAACCTTACAGATGTAGTGACTGTGGCAAAGCCTTTAACCACCAGTCCCACCTTACAGCACATCAGAGAGTGCATGCAGAAGAGAAAGCATGTAAATGTGATGTCTGTGGCAAGGTCTTTAGTCGAAATTCACATCTTGTGAATCATCAGAGGATGCACACTGGAGAGAAACCTTACAAATGCAATGAATGTGGCAAAGCTTTTACCCAATTTTCACACCTTAGCAGACATCAGAAAATGCATGCTGGAGAGAAACCACACACATGTAATGAGTGTGGCAAGCATTTTACCCAGCGTTCAAACCTTATGGCACACCAGAGAATTCATACAGGAGAAAAACCTTTTAAATGTAATAAATGTGATAAGGCTTTTATTGAACGGTCACAGCTTTGGGGTCACGAGAGAACTCATACTGGAGAGAAACTTTACAAATGTGATGAGTGTGGAAAAGCCCTTACAAGACATTCATATCTTACGCAACATAAAACCATCCACACTGGAGAAAAACCTTACAAATGTAATGAGTGTGGCAAAGCTTATACCCAGTTTGCAAGCCTCACGAGGCATGTGAAAACACACACTGAAAAGAAACATATGCCTCACACATGTGGCCACGGTTTTATTCAAAGCTCAAAGTTAAAACAATTCAGACAAAATTTATGCATGTATTCCAGCCTTACTCAGCTAATGGGACTCTATCAGGGTGTAAGAACACATACAGATGCCCAGCAGACACATGAAAAGATGCTCAGCATCATTAATCATCAGGGAAATGCAAATCACAAGGTCAGTGAGATACCACATTAGAATTATTATCAGAAAGACAATGAATAACAAACATTGGCAGTGCTGTAGAGAAAAGGGTACTCCTGGGCCTTGTTGCTGGTATTGTAAATTGGTGCATCATTTATGCAAAACAATATGAAAGATTCTTAGAAATTAAAAAACAACAAACCTGTTATGTGAGCCAGGTTTTGCACTTCTGGCCATTTACTGGCAGAACAGAAAAACACGAATTTGAGAAGATATAGGCACTCTTACTATTCCCTGTAGCATTATTTCCAATAGCCAAGATATGGAAGCAACCTAAGTGTCCATTAATAGATGAAAAATTAGAGGAGATGAGCCATAAATAAGTCTAGCCATTTGCAACAACATGGATGGATCTAGAGGATTATACTAAATGAAAGAAGTCAGATGTAGAAAGACAAATACTGCATGATCTCCTTATATGTGGAATATAATAAACAAAACACAGTGAAAACAGCTTCATAGATAATGAAAAATAAATGCCTGGTTGTTGCCAGAAGGAAAGGTGTTGTGGTTCCAGGTAAAAGAGATGAAGAGGATCAAGTCATACAAACTTCTCGGTATTTATATATGTCATGGGACTGTTATATCCTGTGTAAGGAAGATGTTCAAAAATATTGTAATGACATAGAGGATAGATGGCTATATGCATCGTTGTAATTGTTTTTATAAAGCAAATGTTGCCTCATGTATGTAGTACAGCCAAAATGAATATAATCAATTATATTTCAATAAAAGAGATTCAACCTTAGAGAGAAACCATACAAAAGTAATGTATATGATCTTTAATATTTACTTGATTGAATTTCTGTTATTTATACTAAACCTGCAGGCATCAAAAGGACAGTAAGGGACTGTTACACTCTACATGTATATACTTGAAAACATATGTGAAATGGTAAAGGTAGAAAGAAAGAAAAGTGAAAGTGAAGTCACTCAGTCCTGTCCAACTCTTTGCGACCCCATGGACTATAGCCTACCAGGCTTCTCTGTCCATGGGATTTTCCAGGCAAGAGTACTGGAGTGGGCTGCCATTTCCTTCTCCAGGGGATCTTCCCAACCCAGGGATCAAACCCAGGTCTCCCACATTGTAGGCAGATGCTTTACTGTCTGAGCCACCAGGGAAGAACCTACCTTAAATCACACATGTGAAACAGATCATTTGAATGAATACTTTGAATTACAGAATTAATGTGTAATTTTTATCTGTGGAGGGATTACACACTACAGTATGAAATACAAGACTCTCCTTGATTATAACGAGCAATGTCATTCGGATACCCGCCAGAACAGCCTTTCTGTTTCTATTCATCACTGTTCATTCTGTTCATCATCAGTTTCAGAGACTCATAAAGACAAGATTTGGGGTTTGAGGATTGGAGGACTATTGTATATGATGCTTTAGGTCACTAACCATTGCTCTAAAAAGAGCAGTGTTTAAAAAAAATTTTTTTATAGATGACAGTTTTCTTTATTTTTTGCTAAGGTGTTTATTTACCTTTTTAAAACTATCATTTAAAAAAAAAAACTATCATTCCCTCATCCCAGTTTTATAATTGACATATATCAACTTTAAACTGTACAGCAGAATGGTCTGACTTACATGTAAATCCTTAAGTTTACTTAGCATCCATCATCTCATATGGGTACAATAAAAAGAGAAAATAAATTATTTTTTTTCCTTTTAATGAGAACTGTATTGTTTAAAATACTTTATTCCACACTCATGATGAATTACTTTCAAATACCTTTGAGAAAAACTTGTTTATATCATAATAAAATCAGCAATGTCTAAATGTAATTTCAGATTATACATTCATTTTGAGGGTAGACAGTTTTCTTTAATTTTAAAATTATAGTATCAGTTCAGTTCAGTTCAGTTGCTCAGTTGTGTCTGACTCTTTGCGACCCCATGAATCACAGCACTCCAGGCCTCCCTGTCTATCACAAACTCCTGGAGTTTACTCAAACTCATGCCCATCGAGTCGGTGATGCCATCCAGCCATCTCATCCTCTGTCATCCCCTTCTCCTCCTGCCCCCAATCCCTCCCAGCATCAGGGTCTTTTCCAATGAGTCAACTCTTTGCATGAGGTGGCCAA